AAAAAAAAAAAAAAAAAAAAAAAAAAAAAAAAAAAAAAAAAAAAAAAAAAATCATAATTCCAGACGATAACGTTTTTTGCTATCAATGAAATGAATATTAATTTGCACAATCGTAAAAAAGTTAAATTGTTAAATGTTATTTAAATCATGCTTAAAATTTCCTTTTTGAGGTTCAAAACTATTTTTTTAAGTTATTGTTTGCTACTTTCACGAGAGCAGGTTTCAATAAAATATTTCGGCGCATTTGATAGCGTTAAATTTTCCTCAAGATTTCCCTTCATGCGCCCTCTCTGATAGTAGTATCCATCTACAAAAAAAAAAAAAAAAAAAAAAAAAAAAAAAATCAGACTTCTATCATTTTTCTTTGATAGTAGTTTCCACCTGCGAAAAAAAAATTATCAGACCCCTGAAACTTCTCAGTCGACAAATATCTGCTTGCAGCAGGTTTGCAGTGCATAAAACTTGTCTCAAATTGAAATATTTGCCGACACGCCTCAATAAATCTCTGTTTTCATGACGATCAATAATTGTTTATAAAATGCCGGATGCCTATCGAAAATGCCATTACAAAATGTTTAAAGTTGCACCAACGTGCATTCCGTGAGGATTCGAAGTACCGTTCTGTTATCAAATTATTTTTTCCTTCTCAGCACTGTTTTTCCCGCCCCTTTCCCAGGTCAAGTCGGGCCACGAGCAATGCACTGCTGTACTGCAGGTTGCAGTGCGTGTCTAAGGCGCGTGCTTCAAACGGCGTCATTTGAGTCGAGCCCGTCGTGCACCGTGCCACCTCGTGCCGGCCGGCGCGCCCGGTCTCCCTAAAATAATATCGGCAGCTAAATTCCGTCACAACTTGAGCGAAAATGTCTGCAGTGTCTCTTCCTACTTCCATTTCCTGGCGTAAATAAAACCCCGGAGTGACGTCCGGGAAACGATGCTTACAACTCAGTGGGACCGACTGGATCAAAACTGGATTTCCCATTTTTCTCGTATAATTTTATTTACGGTGCTGTCATTCTCGGCGAGGAGAAAGATACCACAGAAATGTATCGATCGCCCAGAGACAACGATGGCCTCATTGTAAAACTATGTCACTCCGTTTTGCGACGTTGCAGATTTCCTGCTATACTTCGAGGTTTCCTTGAAAAACTAGTCCACGTAATTCATCGAGAACTTCCTCGACTTTCCCTCTCAATCAGCAGAATATTCTGTAAAAATTTCAAGCTATAAGGTTGGCTTGATTCTCCTCACTGGAAAAAAAAACACATTGGATCTAGAGTCCATACTCTTGAAAACATTGACAAGAAAAAGGACTCTTGATTCAATCAGATTTAAGCTTAAATCAAAAGAAAAATCCGCTCAAATTAAGAGGCTTGGCTCTTGATTTAAGCTTAAATCTGATTGAATCAAGAGTATTTTTTCTTGTCGATGTTTTTAAGAGTCTGGACTCTAGATCCAATGTGATTTTTTCCAGTGCTCGAAAAATTAAATTATAAGCGGAAATTTTGAAACACCGGAATTAAGATACGTGGTCTCGCACTTTAGCCATCGATGTGCGTAAAAAAGAGAGGGCTGTTTCAGGTGATTAGTAGATATAGGGAAGGCTGCATTTACAGAAACACAACCTTCCTTTTTTGCATCACGCCAGAGGGTTATATGCAGATTCGACCTCTCCTGAAGAGATGCAAGTTCCCGGGGAAGTAAGGGCTGGTGCATGCATGATGAGATGAAACTGAGGTCACCTTTAAATTCAGCAGGACACTAAGCGGACTGACTCTTACACTAACTTGATTGAAGTATATAGCATTTGACCAATAAACTCGCAGAATTTTCGGACTTTTAAGTCTGTAGAGAGTTCAGATCCCATTCGAAACGGTTCTCCTAAGGCTTCTTGGAAAATCATGCAAAGTTACCATTAATCCCAAGAGTTATAAGAGAACTTGAGTGTTTACTTGTCAGTATATACTTTGTAAATCCTATTGTACAATATATCCTTAGCAATCATGCTACCATGTCCAGTTGGGCACCATTCATCAAGTGTTAGGTGCTTGAATCCCTTGTCATTTGATAGCCATAGAAAGGCGAAATTAACAGAACGTTTCCTTTTGACGATTACCCATATTGAGAATATAATATTTGCACTCCATTTCTGGACGCCGTAGATTTTTAAACTACTGTGCGGTCTACAATATAAACCACCGCAGCCAGAAAATGAGGGTATCGCATTAAAAACGGCTATTCTAGGCAGTTTACCTTAAAAGCTCACATTCTGAACATTACAGCTTTTCAACATGAATCGACTGTTTCTGTCGCGGGGAGAGGAGTATAGATTGTAATAAGTGTTACTTGATGATATTATATTGGAACTCGTTTAACCTACTTTATATTTCTGTCAGGAGTTTCATTCACTTACTTAGCCAACTCTACACCGAAAGAAATGAATCATCCGTAGATACCTCTTAGAAATGTGTGGTACCTAAAAATGTGATACCTCCAACTCAACAACTCCACCTGCTCTATATCGGTATTATCGGTATTATTGTTTTTGTAACTTTTTCTTCAGTTCAGTGAGTAGACGAACTGAATAATAAGTAAATCTGATATAAAACTCTACGTACAAAAGACAAAGTACCAAAACCCTCCATGCATGTATACTTGTATAGCCATTACCACATACTACCTTCTCTCCATGCGTGAAATGATACAATTTTAATGTGAGGTGTGGATTTTGGTCATTAAAGTGCTCCTAGCTGATGTCATTGGAAACATGATAACATTCTACTGCGCAGACACTCCCAAGCTCAAAATTGAAGGCGTTTTCGAATCAGCCAAGTTCCTATAACTGGATTATTGTTTTGCGAAGTTCCTATTATTATGTTTTATTCCGTACCACTTGTTTCTTTTTAATCTTCGTATAAAAACCACCCATTTGCTAAATACAATATATTAGCTGAAGCGCACGTCAACTATGCATTCACGACTGCAAAAATGTCAAAGGAAATCGACAAGCCCAGCGTGCATGGAGGCTATTTCCATTTTAATAATCCGTCGCATTTTTAAGGCGCAATGATACAACTATTTGAACTCTCCGGAATGCGTGAGGTATCACGCCGCATTTGAAGGCGTTTTCAAAATAGCCAAGTTCCGATACCCGGAGTATCGTTTTGTAAAGTTTCTATTATTATGTTTTATTTCCTACCATTTGTTTGTTTTCAATTTTCCATAAAACTACTCATTTGCTGAATACACTTCTAGCTGGAGCGCACCTGAGTTATGCATTCACCACTGCAAAAATGTCAAAGGAAATCGATAAGCCCAGCGTGCATGGAGGCTATTTCCATTTTAATCTTCCGTCGCATTTTTAAGGCGCAATGATACAACTATTTGAACTCTCCGGAATGCGTGAGGTATCACGCCGCATTTGAAGGCGATTTCAAATCAGCCAAGTTCCGCTACCCGGATTATCGTTTTGCATAGTTCATATTCTTTTGTTGTATTCCGTACCACTTGTTTATTTTTAATCCCCGTATAAAAACCACCCATTTACTAAATACAATTCTAGCTGGAGCGCACTTAAGCTATGCATTCACGACTGCAAAAATGTTAACGGAAATCGAAAAGGCCAGCGTGCATGAAGGCTATTTCAATTTTATTAAAACGGCCTCTGATGTTTGACGCGGGCGTAACCCCAAAAACTAATGAGCCCTAGCGTCCTACGAGATGAACGGAAGCCAAGGCTCATCCATTTTTGGACCTACGGCAGTCCAACTGAAGACGACTCAATTAATTTTAATATTTTCCGGAAATTACACTCTTGTACGTGCCACCGTATCCCTTATCCAGCCCACAAAACGCGCATGCAAGCTATAGAGAGTTTTGAGGAAATTTTAGCTCGATATTTAGACAGTGCTAGAAAAAATCTTATGATCCTCATCACATGAATAAGAGTCTTCAATTATTATTCATGCTACAAAGTGAGTACTCCTAACTTTTGACGCATGACACCCCGAAAGCAACCGTGAAAGAAAACAGTCAGCTCTTTCGCGCCCGTGAAATTAAACAGCACGCTGCAATGGATGAGTGAAAAAACTTCCGTTCGAATGCCAGAACTGTTCGCGTGCCTGGAAACAGTAGACACCCCTTCTCCTCCTCGCCCGTGAAAATTACGGAAGTTTTCCGGACAAACCAGACGATTTCCTCGCTTATTCGGTCCGATATAGTCTACCATTCGAATTTTTGTGCGAGGAGACTTTGCGACAAACCGAAAACAATCATCAGAATGTTTGTCATGAGTTGCAATCGTAAAGTGCATCGCGGAAAATTTATTGTTAATAGTATAATTCCAGCTCCCAAGTGTCATTTCAAGCGTTTTCAACCAAGAGCCTGAGACAAGAGACCAGTCTCCTATCTTAAAAGCACAGTCAATTTACCCTGGTAAAAATTGGCAGTAGAATCTGTGTTCCAAAATACCATAGACCTACAGCCGGCTGTAAGATTTCCAATAGCTCCTATAGCCGGCAACAAAATGTCTTATAGCCTTTTATAGCCGATGGCGATTAAGCAACAGCCTGGCGATAAAGTGTATGCTAAACGTTACTAATTACGGATTCTAGGACTCCGACTAATTCCATACATTTTTAAGTAGAAATTTGCCTCTCTTGCCTACTTTCCTTTTCGAAAAGAATTCACAACATATACTTATCGTCGCCCTTCTAACGTAAGGGCGTATCTCAATGTCCACCTGAGCCTTGTTTTACATACAATTCCATACTTTCTGGAGTTCATGCAGATGCCAAGATACGCCCTTACGCTATAGGAGCGACGTTATGACGGAGTGATGTCGGTGATTCCAAAATGACGCTATTATTCGTTTCTTTCTGTACGAGGATCAGCATGGAAAAATGCGGGAAACTATCCCCATCAAGATATACTGACCGGGTAATAACTGCGTCACTGGGATATATTATTAATCAAGGCCAACGCAACTTCCGCGGTTCCCCCGGAAAAAGGGGGACTTGAAACTACGCGTTGCGTGCGCAGCGTGCGTGAAGTTGCACAATATTGACAGCTTTCGTTTTCGGTGGTAAAGCCGAACATATTTCAATACATGAATGATAAGGACATGAATCGATTGATCTTTCTGTTCTTTTCCTCTGTCAATTTTAAAGAAGAAAAATTATTGTAGTTTCATAAAATTTAGTACTGTTTGTGTATCTCATAAATGGACTGCTCTTTGCGATTTGGAACTATAATATCTGGCACAGTTTAGAAACGACGTATGTGCCATCAGTTCCCCTATGCACTTGAGTGTTTTTACAGATAGGAGCGGTTTTTACGAAAGAGAAGCTACCCCCTGCAAAATGTATTCCAAATAGATGGTTGTGACAAAAATCAGGCCGACTGCGTTACTTGGTATCTAATTTCCTCTCATGATGAATTTATTTGTGAGAAACCTAAAAGATATTCAGACTTTACATTTTTCGAGTGCATTTTTCTAGGCCCACAGGGCATTGAAATATACTTTAATGGCATTATGATTCCCAGGAATTATGAATAGAGAATGACATGTATGAAAATTAGGCTAGGAGAAGTGCTGTTATCTTTATACTAGTTGATATCGTCTAAATGTTCTCTTCTGAATCCGCTGTACCAGAATTTTGATTTATTTTCTTTGAATACAAAAGTAAAAATGTGTGCAAATTTTTTTATTATTTCCGGAAAGTTTTCTGTGACAATAATGTATAACTTAAATGTGAGAAATGCAAAGGAGGAATAAAAAATCAAAAGGGGAAAAATATGGGCAAAAACCTAACTTATATTTATTACCACCTGTCAAATGATGACCCAGAAACAAAGCAACAAAATACTAGTCACGGATGGAAAGGAAAAAAAAATCGTTCAGGTATCTTAGTTACGAAATTTCAAATGTCGATGTAATTCCATTCCCCTCTGTCTAAGGATAACTAGGTGACTTCATTGCTTGAAATCTTCAATGAGAATTATTTATACAGAGGTGAAGAAATTCGAAAGATCACAAGCGATGTTCAGTATGATGTTCAGATAATGTGTATGATGTCAGTATGATTTTCAGTCGTTCTCTGATTAAAAAGTCGAGCATGATAAGAAATCTGCAACGTCGCAAACCGAGATCTCCTTATTTCAGTCTCACCATCGATATGCCTCTAACGGACGGGGAACGACAGTCGAATAAGCTCGAAGTTCAAGAGACGGTGTGCAGGGGTAGTGGTTTTGTTATGGTTACTGGGAAATCTTAGAGACGCGTCTATACGCACACGCACTTACACCCTCGGTAGAGGTGCACGTGTGAGAATTGCCCAAGATCTACGATTTCTTCCCCCAAGACTTCCTCTTCAATATTGCTGCCTTGCTGAGGAAAACCACAGTGTTAGCTTTCGGACGATGCCAAATTTAGGTTGAAAGAAAACGAATTTCTGGAAAACTTGTGAACATTTTCCCCCAAGTTTTCAGAGGAATTCATTTGCAGTCTGATCTAATGACATTTTCAAGAGAAAATGTTCATAACTTTCCCCCAAAATTCAGATTTTACAGTAGAAAATATGGCAACCTTTACATGTCTATGGTGTTTTTATTCCGTGCAAGAGGTAGGCTGATAAATTTTCACAAAAAATTAATGTTTTGGTTCTCGGGCCTAGTTGATTAGGGGGAAAGATTTTCTGTTCAAGGAAACGAAGCTGTGGGAAATATCGAAATTACTAACGGACTACAAAAAATGACGAAGGCCAAATAATCTGTGATCACATGAATTCTCTAAATCGCTCAATTGATCCATGAGCTTTTGGGCGATATTTTTCTGGAAAATTATTATTAGTGAATTATACTCAACAGGTTTTTGCCTACATATAAGTTAAAATCAATAAAAATTCACGAATCAATGAATATTCATTCTTAAGGAATCGAGCTAATATACGAACAAAAGGGGAAAATGGTTTTGCAAAACCATCGCGCGTTTTTAAACCTCACCAGTTTTGTAGCCAAACATATCCACATAAAGAAGTCTCTCAGTTTTCTTTCATCCAAACTAAAATATTGTCCACCTGGATACAGTAACAGGTTCGAAGTTCAAATCCGAGGAGAAAGCTCCTTCAGTTGTGGGATGCTGCAACCAGCACATCCTAGGAGTTGGAATAGTTGCAGCCTCCAGTCTTCGACGTTTTATGATACGCATCATCAATCACAGATCTCTGCAAAGCTTTCCATGCATTTTATATTTCTTATTCTTCTGTCTCTTCTTGGTAGACCTCTTAGCTTCTATTTTTATTGCACAAAACACTCAATTGCTTCGAATACCTCGCATATTTCATCTCGTGTATTAATTAACGTTTTGAACACCTTCAATGTCAGACTGCGGGAATTTATATACGGATTTACTCTCATAAATTATTATTGAAAGTTTAAAAACAAGTATGTATACTTGCGGGTTTTGGTACTTCCTGTTTTTTTCTAATTATTTACCTTTTTTCTTTTAAAGATCAACTGAAATGTTTAGGATGACATTCTCATTCAATCCAAACTGTTAGGGATACAGAAATGGAAACAGCTAAAGTGGATCATATTTTGCAATTAAGAACTACAACTTCATTTCACTTAAGAAACGACGTAAGTGCCTTCAGTTTTCCAATACAGGTAGATGCTTCCATAGACGAGTCAGAAATATTAGTTCCTTATCGCAAAATGAAGTCCACCTCTCAGGTTTTCCACACAAGGTAAAAAAGTCGCACCATTTTGATGGCAGAGGTGCAATGCCGGTGGCTCCTAATTACAAAATGAGATCAAATTGATTTTCAAACTCAACATTGCATGATTCGACATCCACGTGGATTTTGAAAAAATCAACGTAACGCAAAGCTTCAATCTGAACCTCACATACATATTGGAAATATGATTTACTCTACTTTGAACCTTTGACTATATTTCGACTCATTTGATTGCAGTTGCATCTAAAAGACTCAAATTAACTGTAATTGACTCTAAATTACAGTATTTGCCTCTAGTTCAAGTCACATTGTACTCAACCTACGAGTCGTTTGACTCGACTGCTCCTCAAGTATATCGATGGCCAAAGTGCAAAAGCACGTATCTCCGTTTGCAACGCTGCAGACTTCGTGTAAAACTTGACTTTTTCTTTGGAAACCTTATAAACCTTACTTCTTGATAACTTCCTAGAATTTTCCTCTCTCTCTCTCGCAACAGAATATTCAGTAACTTTTCAAGTTATGAAGTTCGCTAGTTTCTCTCCGAAAAAAAGAAATATGAGCAGAAATTTTGAAACGTTGCAAATAAGATATCGACGGTGAGAGTCGGCAATCACATAACTCGTTTGCGGCGTCTGAAAATCTCCGCCTCTACGTCATTTTTTTAAAGGAGAACAAATTGATATTATTTCTTGAAGTTTTTCAGAATTTCCTTCGCATTGAGAAGAAAAATCATGACAGTTTTGAAGAATTGCCGTCGAGTAGTTTTCGATTTAAAAAATAAAGTATGACAGGAAGTCTGCGACGTCGCAAACCGAGTTATGTGATTGCCGACTTTCACCGTCGATATGTGTTTTGGCACTTTAGCCATCGATATTATGCAGCGTGCGGTCGGAGGTGGAGATTCCGATGGAACGTACCTTTCTTGTGGAGGATGGCCAGGACGGCGGAGCAGCGGGAGAGGAGGAGGGTTAGGAGGAACGACACCGGAAGAGCGCACTGAGCCATGGGTAGGAGATACTGGGGTCCAGATCCAAGCCGATCATGGCGATCCAGCGTCCACGACCGTCTCGCTGACCACCGGCACGTCACGTCGCGTTCGATTCGAATCCCAAACGCGCTCCACGTCCACCCACCGGCAGATACCTCGCATGCTACTGCTTCCGCCGCGCCGGGCGCCACCGACCCCCAGCCCTGTCGCGCGCTCTGCCGGCCATCGATCCGCAACGTTGCCGCGCTGCATTCGAACCGGAAGAAAATAGCACCCACTGGAAAAAAAAAAGAACTACGGGCTGAATAGACAAACCGTCCGTTCCGGGCTCAGAGACAGAGGGTTCCGGGTGCTGGAGCCGTAGCTTCGACTGCGCCGGATGTTATACCCAAAACGTTCGGCATCTGAGCCCGGAACGCGGACGGTATGTTTGAGTAGCCCTGCGAAGAACTACAATTCGATGGCTAAATTCTGAAAACACTTGTCTTCATTGCGATGTTTCAAAATGTCCGCTCCTATTTTATGTTTTCGACTTTTCGAGAAAAACCAATACAACTTAGTTGCTTGAAATTCAAACAGAGTACTGTTGCAATTATTTGACACGAATAAGACGACACAATTTTAAAACCCTCCTAAGATGGCGGCCGAGCAAAATGGCAGAAAACCCCGTTTTGAGAGGTTTGTCGGGGTTTTTGTTTTTAAACTTGTCTGATAGTCTGTGTTCTAGCGTAATTTGACACCAGAAAGACAAAGATTTTTGGTCGTCAAAATTCCTAGACCCTTCAAGATGGCGGCAAACCCCGTACTGAAGGATAATTCTGCTACCAGGAACCTCGTATTTCAGGATTATTTGACACGAAAAAGACAACTTGGACATCGAGCTGTCACAATTTCGAAGCCATTCAACGCAATGAACGCAACTACGCATGAAATGCAATAGACTGAAAAACATATCAGACACAATAAACGCAATTACACAATGAACTCTAATACGCATGAACCGCAATAAACGGAAACACACATAATACACACACAAATACAACCAAATACGCATACAAAGCAAAAACGCATACAGCGCAAAAACGGACGCAACCCAAATACGTATGAAACTCAAAAATGCATAAGTCGCATGACGCGCAATTAACGCAAATACGTAGTAAGCGCAAAAAAAGAAAATAAGCATGAAACGCAAAAAACGCAATTACGCAGGAAACGCAAAAAACGCAAATACGCAGGAAACGCAATAAACGCAAATACGCAGGAAACGCAATAGACGCAAATACGCAGGAAACGCAAAAAACGCAAAAAACGCAAATACGCAGGAAACGCAAAAAACGCAAATACGCAGGAAACGCATAAAACGCAAATACGCGGGAAACGCAATAAACGCAAATATGCAGGAAACGCAAAAAACGCAAATACGTATACAGCGCAATAAACGCAATCCCCTTAAGTATCGCCCTTTGATAGCATCTACATTATTTTCGTACAAGGTGAAAAAATTCATAAATTCAGTCCGAATATCGTTCGTGTCGTGGACTCGTGGCCGTGGGTGTAATAGTCGACCATTCAAAAAGACCGCGCTAGATGAACGAAAACAAACATTTTGAAACGGGTAGTATCAAATCAATGACGCAATGTTTTGTTGATTTTTGTTGAGGTGATAAATTAGGGTAAGGTTGGAGCTTTCAGCGCTTGCATGCCAACTTAATGTGCTTTCAGTAATTCAAACATTTCAATCATTATCTTTGAGGATCTTTTATCAAACCATGTGATTGAATTTCAACTTTTTCGATCTCGTTCTCGTTTCCTTTTCCTGATGAAGTTTTCTTTGTGATCGTGTAGTGAGCGTTATCACTGTGTGACATATCGTAGTTTGGCTTATAAAAAGAACAATACACTTTCCTTGGAAATGCCGAATAACGTTTCCAAAAGAAATTCACGGTCTGGCAAATCGAAAACGGGGCAGTATTCCTATTCTCAATCCACTTTACCAGTCCCTGGATCCGTCAAAAATTTTTTGTAAGTGCTTTTTTATACCTTCTCATCATGTTTGGGATGAGACCCATGCACCTAAATGCACAATGCTTGCTCGTTTTTCTCATCGATTCTCCTTAGTTCAATTTTCCGCAGTCGTAACATTTTTCCAGCAACTATAAACTCAAACTCATCTTGAGTAAGGAGCTTGCAGGTCTTATAAATTTAGTTAGATACCCAACCGTTTCTAAGCAAGGTACACTCTACTACAGGTATGGACAAATGGAATTTTAGAAAGTCGTCAAAATGCGTAGATTTGACAGCATTGAGAGTACGATTGCGAAGACCTGTGCGGCAAATGGACGGTACGACTTCATACGTCACTCGATCGCCGATTTTCTCAGCGCTACCACTTCGGCACCCCGTTTGTCCATACCTGTAGTAGAGTGTGCCTTGGTTTCTAAGTTTAATTTTTTTTGAGGCATTTCTAATCCTTCTCCAAATTCATGCTCTACAATGAATCATTATGGTGTCTTTAAAATTGAGGTAAACACTGTGTGTTTATCAGTGGAAGTATCAGAATCTGGATGGAGCAGAACAAGTGAACTTTTTGAGCAATCCAAGTAGCAGAGTACACCCAAATCGTTCAACTAAGGACAGTGTGCTGAACCACACATTGGAGGATTTGAAGTTATGTATGTAGTGATAGGGTTTTTTACTCTGACGCCTGCCAATTAGGGAATTTTACTTACCAACTAACACTACTCAACAACGAATTTAATTTGAGCGAGAGGCAACAAAATTAAAAAGCTTATACCTACTTCAAAGTGAGTGCAGAGTCACTGACTGTTGTATTAATCAGATTTTTGACTTTTCAGTGAAGTTAGTGGTCATGCTTTCATCGAGTTATCAACAAATCAGAGACTCAGTAAAATCAATAAATCACTGAAGCTACCAGTCTTAAACGCTGCCAGTATTTCAAGAACGCAGACATTTCTTGGAGCTGCTACCATCAAGTCATCTGTCTCGTAAGAACTTTCTTTCTGACTCATTTATTTTTTCTTTTGTAACAAATCAACTAAACTGTACAAAGAGGGCCACAAACCCCAACTGCTCAGCTGATTTAGAATTGGAGCACTCGAATGAAAGCGTGAGGAACAGAGAATAGTAAGTACCTAGTCGCTTTTCGACAAGAAGGTAGAATAGATGGATTAGTTCTTTATTTATTTTTGTCACCAGGCCTGCTGCAAAATTTGATTCTAAAAATAAAACTTTTTTAAGGGCGGATACATATAACCTCTCTTGTGACTCTTACATAGCGAGTGAAGAGAGCAGGCAAAGAGAGCGCATCAATTGAGGCTGCCACTCTTCTTGCACTGTTGATAAGGTTAGAGATGTGGAAAGTTGAACATGAGATTTGAATCAAATCTTATACATGAGTCATCAAAACTATTCCCTAATTTTTTAGCGGAAACCCGTTGAAGTGGAGCTTTGGGTGAAAAATATCAAATCTCGTTACAAATCTATGAGCCTCTCTTCTAGAAACATACCTCCCTGACCTACTAGTGGTCTCCTCACTTGCTAAATATAGGTGAAATAAGTTGAAACTTTCAGTTCATGGCAAGTAGCTTATGGAGAATCCATCTTGCAGAACTTCTTATCTGTAAGTAAGTGCTTGGAAATTTGACCCATTTCGTTTGTTTCATAACTGAGAATGCGACTCAACTAAAGCATGTTACAAAGCAAGTAGAGAGAAGTGCAAAAATTTTAATAAAAAAACATACAAGGACGCCTCAATATCTCAAAGAGAAAAAAGATCATCGTGCGAAATGAAGTACTGGCAATGAGAGTTTGTAATCTTTTATGTATCTGAACAACCAACCATTCATCTCTGACTATTCTGAAATCTGTTTTTTTTTTCTTGGTTGCTCCGGACAGAACTTGTCAAACCGAACGAAGAGAATTAGTCGACAATAACAGCGTTAAATCAGAGACCAACTCTCAACCATCTTTTATTCGTAGTTTGTCAGCATCTGAGTCGGAATCCTGGTCTGATGTAAGTATTTAAGTTTATTTTGTCTATTAAATGCGTACTTGAACATTTTTAAGCCTGTAAAATCTTTTTAAAAACTCATCTGTGCATTTTATGAAATATTGAGAGACGGTATGATGCTGTTGTCTTTTTTATCATCAGCTGCTGTGTGAAATTGAGCAGAGTTTATAAATTGTTCAACATCTCCTCTAGTCTGTAGGAAAATCTGTCTGGCTCAATTCTTTGTTTCATTAGTCACTTCTGTCTGTACCTGTATCTATCAAACTCATTCGCTGTCAAATCATGTTTCCACTTTCAAATTTTTAATCATTATGAAAAATAAAAAAACTAAATACATAAACTCGTTCACTTTGGTTTTTATCCTAATTTGTGTCTCTTTTTTTGCTCCCATCTATTGTAGGACTTAGAAAATGAAGCGACTGCTCACTTACTTGCCAATTTGACACATATAGACGATATGTTGTATTGCACTTCACCAGTTACGAGTAACCAAGAATTATTTCACGAGATCAAGCTATGGCAAAGCCGTTTTCCTTTTTTAAGGTAAAGTAATGTTTTTTCCTTTGAAAACTTCACTGTCCTATCTGAATATACATGATACGAGATCTTGATAAAATGATATTTTGTCCACAATTATTGCTCTTTAACTTTCAATTCTGGTTTAAATGTTGACATGCAAGCATCATAAAGTGCTACAAGTACTTATCATGATTTTTGTCCTAGGAAAAACTGTTGATTTTAAGATTTTTCTCTCTCTTTTGTTTTTTTTTTTTTTTTTTTTGCAAAGGCACTGTGGCTTTATGAAACAGTTATCCATCAGAGGTACTTAGTCCATCATCAATAAGCTAAATGTAAATACATATTATGATTTTTAAAGATTACTTCTCTCGAACTTGAAATAAGTATGATATTCCGTATCAGTATGGCCAATGCTGAATACTGGAAACTGAATATTAATTAACAATTGGACCAAATGTTCCAAGCGGCAGTCCATTTCAATCCGCCCCCCTCAAACTAGCGTTCTGTGATGAATTTAGATGCAAAATTGCCACCTTGAATTTTTGACTCAAATTTTTGATGAATCAGCATTACCTGCCCATTCTAGCATTATGTCTTGCATCCCCAAAAGCATCCTCCTCTCCCCTCCCCCTGGAACGCTCCTGTAGCTCAGGCTGAGACCCTCCTCTCCCCACCGAGAAAGTACTACGTATTTAATGAAGGACCCCTCGATAATTTTTCTCTTTTTTTGATCAGGGTGGTTGGCAAAAAAGTGAAGATACTGGATAACAGTACCAATATCAACCAAGAAACCAGTAGAGAGAAAGAAGAAGTCATTTTCAATGACACTAATCTCACCAGTACTGACCTTGAACCAGTAACATCCAACTCAGGGAATATTGTACACCTGAAAAAGCAACTCAGAAGGTCCGTAATCGACCATCTGACAACTCACTTCATTTATGCCATGAAAGATGAAATTATTCAGTGTTCGAAACATAAAATTTGTAAACCAGCATCAAAAGTAAATAAAGCTCCAACCTGCCGTGTTGATAAAATTTCTGACATTAATGACAATAATCTGCGAGTACATGATTTGGATAATATTTTGAATATTTCACCAATATCACTCAAGGCAACAGGGCCAAAATCAAATTACTTGTCATCGTTTTCAACCAATAGAGTGAGAAATATACAGGCAAAATCCTCTGTTAGTCAACCAATCCATCTTCGCATTGAGCAGAGAACATCGACCAAAATCACTCAACAACCTTTCAGAAATGCAACCGATAATGTGAAAATCAGTATTGTAGCAAATTTAAGCAAAACTTCCAAGCCTGCCAAAAAATCTTCCGAACTGAAATTGAGGTATGTTATGATCTATCTTCGTCAATCTAACTAATCAACAATTTAAAATTCAAATTTTTTATTGCCTGTGATTCATAGAAACCCGAAGCATCCAACCTTCAATGTCTCCTTGATCTCTCAAGTTGCGAATATGTGAGCAATTGTTGCCTGATTTTTATACTATGAAGAATTTAACATAAGTTAAATTTAGCATTTAAGTTTAATTTTGAACCTCATTTAAGGTTTTAAGAGGAGATTTTTTAAGCATTGGTAGCTGACAATAGCCTCCATCCATCATGATGCCAGTCTCTCCGTAAGATACGTCTAGTCTCCTTTATCTTCATTATCCTTAGTCAAAGCTGAACCTCGACTGAATTTGTGTTTGGACTGTAGTAGTTAAGTTCCTACCAGCTTTTATCTGACTACATAAAGAATTTAAGAGCAGTGACTTTAATATTGAAGTATGATTCATAAAGTATGATCATTTTATAAATGAAGAACTTATTAATTCAGATTATTATCAATGATGCACTCAGAAATTCGCCTAGTTTTTATCACAGTATAGACTGATGTGTTATCATTTATTAATCTACATATATTATGCACATTACCTTTCAGGAAGGACAACCTGAAGACCTCCAAAAATATCGAATCATCAACTTCAAATCGATCTCGTTTTTGTACCCTGCCACCGTTGAAAACTCCTGGACTACGCCCTACCTCAGCAATATACAGTAGCTTCAAAAAGCTTCCCAGCGATTCTAGACTAACGTCATCTTTCATCCTTGCTCCTTCATCACTAATGAATGAATCTTCGGAAAACGATTTATCTTTATGAACTGAAGAGTGTTGGAATTGCAAACACTTTTGAGGTAAAAAATCCCTGTAGCTTGTAATAGCATCCATGTAATTGCTCTTAGTCTTCCTGTTTTGAAGTCATAGCATTTTTTCTAGGGAGTAACAAAACTTCTTGAGATTGCCGAGAAAATGAACTTTCTGTTGGACATTAATTCAAAGGCTGTTTTGAACCAGTCCTACTGAAAAGCTGAAAATTGGCATCTTTAATGAACCCATCGCAATGTGTGTTCCTTCATTAGTCTACCAAGGAAAAAACAAAGAATCTACTTTCCTGTAATATTCTGTGTGTGAGAAAAACCTACACACATAAAAAAGTCTGGGAATGTACGGCAGGATTAGCCAGGGAATTTCACAAGCAGTTTGTCGGCTCAACAACAGCAGGTAGCATTCAAGAAAGTGCAAACAACTTACAAGTGCCTTTTTCGATGATTTTATTCTCTAAAAATGGAAATTTTGTCCTAAGTTTAGCAAAAGTCATCGCAACTGAAAGGATGAACCTAAGTGGTAGTTTTGTAAAAAGGTCTAGAAAAGTCAAAGGATTTGGAAGTTTTGAAGTCAGGTAAAGTGAAAAAAAGTCAAAGAAAAACTTGGGAGAGGTATGAAATTGGAAAATGAGAAAATTATAGAAACCTTGAATGTTCATTCCATTAATTTAGAAGATCTGATGTATCTCAATCAACTTTAGTAGTCTATCAGCAGTTAAAGATTCTTTGTTTTCATTTTACGTGTTAAATCGAAAATAGATCAAACGACGTAACAATCGATGTTAGTTCATAAAAATTCTAAGCAATTGAAGAAAAGCCGAGACTTACTGCACCATGTCAGAAGTTTATGGTACCTTGGGCCATACGCAAGAAACCATTGTATGAAATTCTTATAATTTACCGTCTTCCAAGATCATTTCCAGAAATTTCAAAGATTTTTAGGAATTTCTGATTCAATTTTTCTAATTTCCAGTGTGCTAATTTGATTTTTCAAATTTTGTAATAATCTTAAGTTTATGCAGGCTCTGTTGAACTTTCATCTCATCTTGATTGGTAAACAGCAAAAATCGTTGTCAATCCTCTAGATACATTTAAAAAACTCATTCTGCTTTATCTCTTCCGCAGGTGTCAATTTCATTCAATCAAGTCAATTGCGTTTCAAAACGTAGTTCAATGACATGAACAGTTTAGAAGATACTCACGAGATGAATGAATTTACTGACAGAGGATCAGTCCTGTCTTTAGCAAACAATGTACTCATTTTTGATGATGGTTCTCATCGTGGTGAGTTTTGCACCATCAAATTCTGGTCCTTAAAAGTGTTACCTCAGTTACATATCATCTCAAGCTAAAGTTGTCACAAAATTATGAAAATAAAGCAACAGGCCGTCAGAAGATATGTAAATTAGAAAAAAGTGCCACCTGTTTTCTCTTCAATATCTTACGCAAAAAAACGTTTTTTGCAGAGAGTAGTTCAAAAATCAATTCCTGAATAAGATATATCGACGGTGTAAGTCGGCAATCACATAACTCGGTTTGCGACGTCGCAGACTTCCTGTCATACTTTATTTTTTGAACGGCTACCCAACATCAATTCTTTAAAATTAGCGTGATTTTTCTTCTCTGTGCGAAGAAAATTCTGCATAAACTTCAAGGAATGATGTCAATTTGTTCTCCTTTAAAAAAATAACAAAGAGGCGGAGATTTTTAGACACCGCAAACGAGTTATGTGATTGCCGACTTACACCGTCGATATATGTATTTTTAGCAAAGATCGAAAATGGAAGTTCGAATACACAAATGACGTATTTTGTATTTTTGATATTTAGCCGATTTTAATTATAAGCACTTTATATCTTGTTCAAGAGCTGATTCTCCAACTGCCTACATCAAGACTTATTTCGTTTTGAAATATTGAAGAGAAAACATGCTGGTTGCTGCTTTGATTCACACCTTATTCAGAGGCCCATTGAAGGGTCGAGGAAGAGTCTTGTAAATTTTAATCGCTCATTCTATTTGACTGGTATATTGCATGATGAAAAAAGAATCAAAATTGTTTTTGTTACTTTCCAGCGCACAATTTCACAGCCCACGAATAGTAGTGCTCACACAGTGTGTGAAAAACTGACTTTCCTGTCTTGAAAAACGTTCAATCCAGCCTCATCTTCATTCTTTAGAAAGCTTTGGGTTGGGATTTGATGTCAAAAACTTTCAACCACTTTAAATTTCAATTGATTTTTGACATATGAATCCTGCAATTTTCTTTAATTCTTTACTAATTTTAACTTAAAGAAAATCTTGAAAAATCATTTGTTTTCTGTGAGTATGTTTACTTCAATAGACGTATTGATACTAAGAGGAACCTGAATACAAATGAATTAAATCAAAAGAAACCATGAAACACATCTTATGTACACGGTTCCTTCTGATTTAATTATGGTTTGATTCAGCACCATTACGTTCATTAACATGCAAATGTTTTTAAAAACTCGGATCATCACCTCAGAACGTGCTTTTTTTGGCGCGTATACGTAGTATACCGCCTTTGTGATCGTTTCGACCCCCCCCTCGATACAATAACTGAGTCCCCTAGTTCCTTACCGAAAAGTGACTACCGCGAACTTCTGAGATTTTCCAAAGCGTGTAAAAAGTTTACTAATCCGTCAATAATAATGATTAAAATTTGTTTCTCATTCTGGGGCTCGCTAGTTTATGTGTAATGAATACCAAGAGTCTACGTTTCTTGGTTTTTTTTAAAAAAACCTTAGAATGGGGCGCGCTGATTTAAAATATGCATATATAAGCGGAAGCAAGCGAACTGATTCGAGGATGGCTGACCAGTTCGGCACTCCTTGAATGAGAATTTCACTCACTCCGTTTTGTTCACAACGTTGCTTTGACATATCTCCACAACACTGTTATCCTTTTCAAAAGTTGGTACTCCTTGCTCTGATAGCCGGGGCCACCAGGATAGTGGTAAGTGCAATCTGTGATGAGCCTCGAGACTCATTAGACCATTTGCTAAACGTGGCTCATACAGGAGTCCACTAAGCCCTCTCGTCCCCACGCTCCTGATCACTGCGTCGGCGTCACGAAGAACAATGGGCCTTGGGTCCCAACGCGGCCGATACCCGTACCCCAATTACTCACGCTTCATTAACCATTTCACCGTCACGCTAGGATTCATCCAATTTTCAAAAAAAATTGTTTCGCATGTATTTAGCAATTTTTTCCTTACTCTCCGTTAAAACACAAATAAAAAGAGACCTCATTCATAAAAATCGGCCGAATAGAAGAGAAGTTACAGTAATCGAAATCCGAAGAAATCAACAAAACCTCGACTCCTCGATACGAAAAATAAAATGAAGGGGAAAAAAAGAAAGTATAAATTACAATTAAATATAATTGACCTCAAAATTTGACAAACAATTCATTTATATACCTAACGCTGAAAAAACTGGGAGAAATTACAAAAAATTTGCCTCTTGCAAGGGGCTTCTTTGTAAGAATTTTGACCTGAAGACAACGGTCGAATAACAGCAGTACTCCATACAATACACGGTGTGCCTGAACGAGTTAAACATTTTTCATACGTCCAAATCGAAAAATCTTTATATTTTTAACTACAATGTTTCTTGAATCGTTTAAGCAAAAAAAAAAAAAAAAAAAATTCCGTCGAGATTCTGGAACGCAAAGGCGCTTTAAAAGTATTCTGGGGCTATAATAGCTAAATCACCGGTAGTAAATTCGTTATATTATTAAAAAGAAATTGACTCCATAGTTTAATTCCTTAGTTTCTTGAATACGATTATTTTAAGCACTTAAACATTTATACCACCAATTTTAGCCATGGGGTGATTTCCTGAGAGCCGATAATATCACGAATTTCTCATAGAACCCCTCAACAGTGGCTTGCTTTTTTGGCAGCCGATTCGGCCATCGAACCGGAGTTTAAATGGAAGCTGATAATAACCCAAAGCTCTGAGAAAAATTTTGAGATGAGTATAAGAACGGTTTGTTGTAAGTAGCGAGGAGAGGCGGGCAAAGCGGCTAAAATCCTATCTAATTTTTACAGTTTTTCTGTTGAATTAATGTTGCCGCGGGCTTCTGACTGTCCACACATAGTTCTGTTCAGCATATCGATACATAAGTATTTACATTTTACATACGTAGAATCTAATTTTCACGTCGGGGAGTTGACATATTTTGATTTTTTCGATTTTATACGGAAAATTGATGGTTTTTCGGGATTGAAATTATTATTGTTTCATGAAAAATAAATGCACCCAAAATGACTATAGCATATTGATTCTTACACATTTGCACTCACAAAATTGGTTGGTAAATTCAACGAGTGGGTGCATCGACCTGGTATATCAAGTTTCTGCAATTTTTTACGGCAAATCAGTAGATTTTCGGGATGTAGATTGCTTACTTTCAATTCATGAATGAATAAAGCAACGACATGGTTGAACTTCTTTGCATGGAAAGACGTTTAAAATAACAAAATCAAGACGTATTTAATGCAATTGCATTTATATCGAGTCAATTTCTTTTCAATAATATAACGGGATTTTTACTACCGGTGATTTGGGTATTTTAGCCCCAAAATACCTTTAAATCGACTTTATCTTCTAGGAGTTCGACAGAATTTTTCCTTTCTTCGCTTAAATTATTCCGTAGCACTTTTCTTCAAGAATCTGATAAGATTTTGCTTGAGGCAGATCAAAAAACTTAAATTCGATCGAATAGCTTTCTACTTTCACAATACACGGTCTCGTCAAGGTGCGTCTTTGACCTCGCAGTGTTGGATCGTGAATTCTCTTTTTATGCTGTTTGCCTATTTTGAAATCTCTGTAAATGAAAACTAAAGGGGTTGATATGTGCGAGTTAATGACGCGCCTTATCAACACATTGTGTTGGAGTTCACTGCTTGTTTGTATTTGGTCATTTTTGGCTTGTTGACATCTAAGCAAGTAGGTACTAAATATTTTGAAACCTATCTCATTACATGAAGAATAATATAAATATTGCCCTTTCCAGGAAATGTATCCACTCAGGAGTCATAATCTGCTAAAGTTGTGGTAAGAAGTTCAATTGAAAGTTTCATTGCCGAGTAATGCTCTCCTCACTGATACCATGCTGAAACTTGATCAGAAGTAAGTAAACTAATCAAATCTATCAACTTTATTTGTAGCCTTGTTTTAACTTTTAGATTTTCATTCTTAAATCTCTGATGAAATTTGAAAATTTCAAGCAATCATTTTCGCATGAATCTCTGCCTATTGCTTGCTGCAATTTTAAGGCAAAGACAAGGCAGCCCTTTTCCGCCAAAAATCAGATTTTTACTCAATTTTAAGTCCTAACTAACTATTTTGTCCTAAAAATTTTGAATGGATTAAAATTATGTCCAACCATACAAAAATTGCGCTCCTGGAAATTTTATCTTCATCAGTTTTACTGGAGATAGGATTGCATTTTGCAAAAAGGAACCACTAGCATTGCAATGATGCTAAGATTGTGCAACTTCATCCTTTGCAATAAAATTGCGGAAATTGTGAAAAACTATGAAATGTAGATGGTAATTTTTGTCTTAAATTTACAGTTTTTAGCAAGTAAAATAGAAACTATTACGGGATAATCGGGGTTTTCCTCCAAGACAAAAGAAGTTGCACAATCTTAGCAACATTGCAACGCTAGTGGCTCCTTTTTGCAAAATGCAATCCAGTTAAAAGTGCCAAAAATAAATACTCAGTTCACTTTATTCCTTAAACTTTCATTAATTGATACATACAAATAAATAATAAACATTTAATTACATTTGTTGTATCTCTTCTGTGGATATCTTCCTTAATGCATCAATGTGTTTACATAGTAAAGTAGGTTTATCAAATGGCTGTTAGTAATCTACTTTGAAATTGTCGGCATTTTACTTGGTCGAAAGTTCACCCCCTTTTCAAAAAATTGAGAGATTTTTCTTTGCTTCCTTGAAAAATCCTCACATTTCTTGCACTGAAGCCCTTTGGGAGGGATCTGGAACACACATGCATGCAATTAATTCAGTGAGACTAAATTGATAAAAGAAAATGTTATCATGTAGCACCTTCCATGTAATATTTTGCTGCTTTAATCAAAATGTTAACTCTTCTTCTTTTCCTTCTTCTTCTTCCTTATCTTCTCCTACTTTTCTTCCTCTTATTTTCTTCCTTTGACTAGAGCATGTGCCCTGTTTTGCCTGCCTTTATGGTATCACTTTATCAATAATATTAATATTTTAACTACTCCTTTTTGTTGTTGTTGTTGACCTCGAAAGAAGGAGCATCTCTGGTATAAGTACTAATGACAAGTCCGTGACCAAAATCAGCTTGCTTGGAAATACTTAAAAAAACTAAAAGTAAAATAAGAACACGGACAAAGACCAAAAAAATAAAAAACTGAAAAACTTATTTAAAAAAAACCTACAAATTATATACTTTATACATTTTATCATAATTATAGTACAATAATTAGTAGTTATTTATTATATCTTGATTTTTGATGATTCAAAAAAATTAACTAACCAGGTTATATATGTCTCCTTCCAAAAAGGAAAAATGCTCATTATTAGCTTTTTAGCTTGTATCAATGGAGATGCAGTACTCACAGTTATAATTTTATGTTTCCTCGTTTTAGGTGCAGACTCGGTTCCTTCTTGTGTTTTGGAGTGGCATGGATTGGAAGGTTGAACGGTTATCTAGAAGGCAAAGAATACTGTAAGAGCTCAGGTCCACTCTTGATTTAAGATTTGCTTACAGGTCAATTAGAGTAAGTCAGTATCCTTGCCTCTGGTTTTATGACAATAAATTTTATTTGATTCAAATAAAATTTCATCCTCAGTTTATATGTTCCTTATTAATTTTTCCTTAGACTCAAAAAAATTGAAAATCTTTATTAGAGTTTACCCAAAACATAGTTATTTATTTTTTCTACAAAAGTTTGATCATGCAACTTTTGGATAAATCCATATCTTTTGCTTCAAAATATATGGCCACCATGTAACCAAAAAAATATCTGCCAAAATTTTAGCCGCAGCATAAAATTGGAGAGGCTGGAAGTACATAATGACATTGCTCCTTTAACAGGCTCATAGTGCGTTTTCACTGTTTGCCCTAAATTCCTAAAAAAATTCATCGTATATCTTTACTGGAAGTGAGGGATTACTGTAGCAAACACTGATTTTCAGGTCCTCAAAAAACCTATTTTTTCCAATAAACGCAACCAGTAAAGCAACAATTATATCAGAGAAAAAGTGGAGAACTAATAAATGTATCCAATGTATCAATTATCAGCAAAGAGGTGATTTCTGCGACCTGCGAGTAGATCGCTGATAAAACCTAAGTTATTAATGGATAAATTTTGAAAAATTAGAACTGCTTTAAAATCAGAAAGTATGATTGAAAGAATGCTCTTAACTAACTTGTTTTATTGGTAGTAGTTCCGGAAGAACTAAAGGAGATTTTTTTCTATATATCGATGTCCTAAGTGCAAAATCAAGCATCTCCATTGCTGTGTATAAAAATGTATGCTCCTATTTTATTTTACCAAAGAGAAACAATTGAACTTCTAAGCTTGAAATTTGTACAGAATATTCTAATGACAGAAAGAAAAGCCAGGAAGTTTTCAAGAAATTACGTTGAATAGTTTTCCAAAGAAAAATGAAGTATGACAAGAAGTCTGCACCTTTGCAATCAGAGATACGTGGTTTTGTACTTTCAACATTGATATATTAGAGAGATAAAAGTATTAGTGATTCCAAGAGTCCCAAAATTCTCAAAAGTCGTCAATTTCAGCACTAGAAAATAGCTTTTTCTCAATTGAAAAGTATAATTTAATTCTGAGTAACTTCACCAACAAAATAATTGTGGAAAGAAAAAAATCAGAATTTGTTGGCATAAATTGTATTAGATATGTTGTGAACAAAAAAAAATTGGAGGAACTCACCGTTTTTTCACCTGGTTTCCAACCAGCTGGGCAAACTTCATTGTGAGTATCTGTGTGCTGGTAAGCTTGAATTAGACGCACCGTCTCATCAACATTTCTTCCAACGTGCACATCATTGAGTGTTACGTGACGAATAATTCCTTTTGGGTCGATGATAAATAATCCCCTATGAACCAAAAAATGAAAAGAAATCAAAGTTCAAAGTGATTCCAAATGTGAACAGATGGTGAAGAACTGAGATGTTCAATTAACAATAATTGAACATGATGTCAATAGACCACTAGACAAAGTATATTGACAATGATTCACTTAAATAAAGGTATTCATAACTGAGAGATTAAAAAAATACAGAATATCATACCTATGTGCATGATTGACCTCAGGTGCAAAGACTCCGTAAGATTTTGAAATTTCATGGCTAAGATCAGACAGAAGCGGAAATGATATGTTTCCAAGCCCTCCATCGCTGGTGGGAGTGTTAATCCAAGCCAAATGAGCGAATTGTGAATCCACGGAGACAGCAACAACTTCTGTGTTCAACTTGCGTAACTCACTGATCTTGTTGTTAAAAGCATGTATTTCAGTTGGACAGACAAATGTGCTGTAAATAAAAACACACCATACATATCACTTGCAGCTTTGTCTCCTTTTTCCTCTTGTGGTCATTGATGCAAAGAAACTTCAACCTAATGTGACCTTTTCTTTAAAAGAGGAAGAGGAAGAAAAAAAATATGCATTTTTTCAGACTTGCCATTCCTACTTCTGTCCTTCTCAAAACAAAAATCAATGAATCATTTGTAGGCAAATCCATCCAGAGTTGCAGAAAGGTCTTCAAAGTAAAAAATTGATAATTAGTTGAAACATCAGTCTTCAAATTTTCTCACTCCACAAGAATGTACTTTAATATGTGTTAAGCAAAAAAAATTGAAAGTTCTATACTAATGTGGGCTTATTTGTTTTTACGCAATTGTTGCTTAAAAAAAACCCTCATCATAAAATTTCCTCTTGTGCTCCTACCACACGCAAGCATTTTCTGCACCTCCCAGTCTATCACAAGTTAATTGTCTATTCTTTTTATTTTATATTTTTCAAGTTTCTTATTTGTCATATGAAAACATACAAGATTCTCCTCTGTACATAAAATTCACTCAAAGGGACAGTGGCAAAACACAGAAAATCGCTTTAAATTCATTACTTGTTTTTTTCATGACCGATATACAGGTGTTCAAAATAAAAAGTAAAGTAATCTTTTGAAACGATACATGGCTCCTATATGCAGCAACCAGAAAATGTATAGGCAGAATTTTTTTCAAGTGATCTTGTTTTTTTGAAGAGGGGACATCTAAGTTCCAGTGAATTGAGAAAGGTAAGAAACAACTTTTTGAATTTAAAAAAAAAAAAAACTTATAAATTTTCCTCTATTGCCCACTGATCAGTAAAACAAAGGTAGGTACAATGTTAAGGTAAATCAAAAATGCATAGAAACAACTTACAAATCAAGAGGGTAGAAAAGAAGTATCAAGTATTTTCCACGATAATCCGTTGATGATATCTGTTGGAAAGTTCCATTTATTACAGCAATCCCCTTCCAGCTGGGGGCAGGTCTTCCCACTGAATAAAAAGGATGCATACGCAGTTAAAAGGTAAAGCTACCCATTACTGGAAGTCTCCGTTTTCTTTCTACAAACATTTAGTCTCTCTATAGTATCCAAACATTATATCTTTTCTCTTCCAAGAATTGTAATACTTTTTTGAGCTTGTTTTCTTATTTTTGGTCAGGTAGGTCAAGGGTTAAAATAAATTGCTGTGAACCAAACGAGCAAGATAAGAATACAAGTGTTTCTATTTTCTTTTTTGCTCTGAACACTGCCATTTACTTAAGGTTCTTAATTTTTTTGTTCAATCATTTCTCATTAGGTAGTTTAACTTCAATTTTTTTTTTTTTTAACCTGTGTGTGAAAAATGTCCAACCCTGAAATTTCTTTAGAATAAAAATACAAGCAACTATCATCTACAGAGCTTACATTTTTAGCATTTAAAAGAATTTTGAAATCGATTAAAATTGATTTTAATACAATTTTCATTTTAATTAAGTCCAGTGAGAGCGTTTTCAATATTAACCGTTAAGCAAAGTGAGGAGGAACTCACGTTTAGCTTTGGTCCAATCATAAAGGCGGTTGTTAACTTGCTTTTGCTTTGACTGCAGTGATTTCAAATTTGGAAGACTCTTTTCTGCTACATCTGAAGAACAAAATGTACTTATTTCGCTCGTAGAAATTCTCGGGGAAAAATAAATAAGTCCCACAAGAAGAATCAATCCTTTCATCGCGGACGCCCGTCAATTTGAATTAACCTCGTTTATTGTGTGCTCAAGAGTAGCAACTGTTGATTTGAAATTTTTGTTTATCGGCCGACGGACCGTAATTCGTTTCGTAAACATAGTTTTGTAGATTCTCTCCCCATAATTTACAGATCGTTCAGATTTTCTTACTGAGAGCGTTAATTTGAAAACTTATTCGATCATAAGTTCAATAAAAAGGCTTTTCTTAATTTACGGTGAGTGTCTAATTTTTTTTTCTAGAGAGTGGCACCCTGGATCATTTTTGAGGTTAGGGTTATTGTTTACATTACATGTGCTATCATGTGCCGTGCGTGCAAGCAATTTTAAATCCTGCCAGTTCACTTGCTGAAGATATCTAAATGTTATAATGCTGTGAGTTTAGTTTAATCCTCATCGTTCAAATGACGGAACTCAGAAATTTGTGTGTTAAAATTTTGAAGGAGTTCTTTGGCGATGTACCCAGTCAGATCGGTTCTGAATTATCATGGGGACCGAAGACGCTTCCTCTTATCAAGTCTGCTCTTAAACTACCTCTTGCAAAAGTAAGTTTATTGCACCTCTTAAAAATAAAGCGGAAACGGCGTATACTTTTCATCTTTATTCCTAGTTAATGCGCATCAATTTCTATTTTGGGGGATATACTTAAGAGTCTACATTCCCAAGCGTGCAGATATGTCTGTACCATACGGAGTTTCTTTATAGTCCTAATAGCGTATGGATCATAAGCATATGGGAAAACGCTGTCCTTATCTTGAGAAGTCTGCTCGCGTCATGTTACAGAGCGATGGAACAGCATGGGCTTACATGAGCCTAGCTGGAGAGCGTACAGACTTCATGCACGTCGTACCTGGGAACACTGATCAGAGTGCGAACTCTCACATGCAGTTGTCTTTTAGTTGTCCTGTTGTAATTTACTATGTAAACTGCTATGGCCTTATTTGTGAATCGTCTACCGGGAAATTAATGTGTTTTCAAATTATGAAAGCACTCATCAGGCATTGTGTTTGTCAATCCAGTCTGATTTATTCAACTTATTCCATTCGTTTTAAACAGTATGAAGGAATTGTGAGCTGATCCAGTCGATTCAATGTACGGTCACTATTTTTACTAGTTAGTTGAGTAATTTATGTGTTTTTAATATCATCAGGTCAAAGAAGGACTGGTTGTCTTAATTAGCAATGGAGTCGCTAAATTTGAAGCCATCAAAGAAGGTCTAGCTGTTCAGTACATCTTGCTGCCAGAAAGAGTCTTAACACTTTCTCGAATCCCTCGGTAAGAAATTTTGATTCTCCTTCTCTTTCCTCATTTACATAATCAGGAAATCATTCCAATTTTTGTAATGAAGTTATGCTGAAACTATCAACATGCCAGTTTCAATGAGCCAGCTTTAGTAAATCATTATTTTGCCTACTGCATCATTGAATGCTTCTCATCTCCCCTGTTTCAGTAGGTACTTATATGAAAATTTTACATTTTTGCGGGGAAATTGTCGCACGAACTAGTTTGAAAATTTCAGAGTCTTCTTTCGTAATGGGAAAGAAAACTCACTGGAAATTTTTAGAAAATTCATGTGATAGTTCACCGCAAAACAAATAAAATATAAGCAAGAAATACTGTAACAGCATTATTTAGATATGTTTCTTCTTGAAAGAGACCTTCTTGATTAAAGCCATTGGTTGTGCCTGTTAGCAAGTGAAAATCCTTACAGTCAACATGCCCCTTCCCTTTCTTTGTGAATCATCTTTTGACAAAGAATTTTGCCAAAAAAAGTTATTCTGTCTTAGCATTGTGCCACAAAAGTTGACGGGTGAGGGGTGTACTTGGTTTAAGTATTGATTGAGAGTTGAATTGCAAATACAGGATCTCATTTAAACAACCTGGGCTCGCTAAAGCAAACCGTCCCTCAGATAGAGAATAGAAAGCAAGGAAGTTTTCATGAAATTCAGTTCACTAGTTTTTCAAAGAAAAAATTAAGTAAAACAGGATGTCTGCAACATCGCAAACGGAGATACGTCGTTTGGCCATTGACATTCACCACTGATCAACAATACGCACTGACTGAATATAAACTGAAAGGATAAATATCTTTACACCCAACAATTTTTTTTTTTTTACAAAGTTCATATTGATCTTCAATAAACGTAGTTTTTGGAACTTGTTTCCATATAGAATGTCTTAAAAAAATAATAATAATTTAAAGATGTAGATGATCAAAATATTGGGCATCCCTGTAATGTTAGCTAAGCAGCAAGTAAGATCATGCCCCAACAATGAACTAATGGGAAAAACGACAAAGTTGTTCATCATGCTTATTCAATAAAGTAACAGATTAATTTTACATCTGGAAAATTTACATTTTAGTCATAGAAATGAAGGATCTGTGGGAGCTCAAGACTGGAAACTTTCATCTCCTAATTTTAAGAGATTAGTACTGTTTTATTTACTTGCATGTCAACACCTGCTACCTGTATGTCAAGAATTAACACGTTTCTGTCATTTTTCCAGATATTTAGCTACTATAGAAAACAAGTTAGGATATGAAAGCAAGTTATTAATCGAAGAAGTTGTTAGACATGGAAGTATATCTATTTCTCAAATGATTATCAAGGTAGCTGCTCGCTGCCAAGCTGGTAAGTTATCAGTTATTTTTGAGTAGTTTTCTCTTTGTTCTTTGAAAATTCAGGTATAAAATGTATTTCATCAAAACCGAAAGTGTTGTACATTTTGTCATGGGAACGGAGTTCCCCATGATATTACAATCGTTCCGTTGCTTTCGCTATGGGATTCCCTATACCTCTGCGACCTTGAGCGTTTCGCCCAGTCTCCGATTTTTGGTTGATTTTCCGATGTATCAAAAACCGTTGTATTTTTTAGCCAATCATGTCTCTACGTCAAGTTGTGTTGATTTCTAAAATTCGCTTTCAGCGAGTTTTTTTCCACCTTGAGATGTCGTGTCTGACTGGTGTCGTTTCTGCGCAGAACCACGAAGTTCCGTTTTTAGGCAAATTCTTTTTTTTGGGAGGTTTTCATTGGCTATTTTTCGCCATCAGTTTTCTGTTCGTTGGTGCAAAAGATCGCCTACCTCGTTGCTCTTGAGAAGCCGCCATTATCCCACCTCAAATTTTAAACATAGATATAAAGAAATAATAACCATCGTACAAGGCGGAAAATTGTTCTGAAGGACCCGTTACGGATATATGAGCCAAAATCAGAACTCGATTGATGGATTTAATCCATGAATACAGAAATATTGCCTCAGTTTACTGCCGTGATAGCAAATGCAACCTGAGATGAACCTTGTGACACATGAAAGCATAGGCAAACAATGTCTCACAGAGAAATGCTCTTAATCCGCTGTCTCTTAGCAGCAGTGGCCGGATGTCAAGGTCGTCTTTTGTGAAGCCCCGCTCAGCGTCCGAGATCACTTAACTAGTATCTTTTCTTCATCCGTGAATGAGTGTCGAGATAGCTCGGTTGATTGAGACGCCAAGTCAGTGCTTCATTCGTATCCTTTTTGTTGCGAGCGGGGGTTCGAATCTCGTAGACGACAGTTAATTTTTACTGGTTGTATTGAATGTTTTAGACCAATCATCTAACAATAATTAATACTTGGCAACTTAGGAAGCACATAGGTCCCTTATGATGCGTATTCGGGCATATGTGTAGAGTAAAAATATCATACGTAGGGTGTCCCAAAAGTACCGGGACTGGATCTGTAACTTCAAAAGTAAGATAGATACAGACATGATTTTGGTCTCATTTTAAAGATCAACTCAATACCTATCGATTAAAACCAAGATCAGCTCAATCGAATAAAAATTGACCGAGT